ACGATATTTTTACGATATAAATCTCACGGTACGATATTTATTGCAATATTTCATGGAGGCTAATAAAACTGTGAATATGCTACTTTTTCCTCTTAAATGTACTGACAAGACTTAATCCAAAGAACTAAGACTAAAAAGTGCTTAGAACTTTCTATTATCTATTATAGTCTACACTGAAATGGAGCAAAGGATCATGGTCTATGTAGTCCCGTCTGTCTTTTTTTATTTTAGCTATTGCTGCACCACAACTATTAATTTAACTAAAGAAACATGTAATTCGATATATTGTGATGGCCCACGATATTATTGTGACAACTCTGACGATACGATATCACGATATTTCCGTTATCGTTACATCCCTAATCTGCACAAATGTTCGATGCCAGTGTCATATCATTCCGTTGTATCCCTAATTAAAACATAAACTACAAGTCTAATCGCAATTCTTGTCAGAAAATCGCAATTACATATGTCTCCAAAATTGTTCAACACAACCTCTTATCTCTTCTTTAGTTAGAAGTGGTCCCTCCTGCCGACCAGTACCTCCCTGCTCCCCTTTTCTCCTCCTTTTTTTCTTCTCCTCTTTCCCTCCTCTCCTTCTCTCCTCTCTTCCTCTACTCCTCACCTCCTCCTCCTCCCCTCCACAGCAGCAGCAGCTATAACCCGGGCCTGGGGAGAGCTACAGCGCTGATTAGCATGCCGTAATGATGGTGAGTGGGGCTCCATTGTTCTAACACCTCCCCTCTCCTCCGCACCAATCTGTCACCGTTCAGCGGGACTAGGAGCTGCCTCAAATCCTTCTCCATAAATGAGACGAGATAATTAGTTGCCCCTCACCAATGCCGCACTCTTCTCACCACTGATTGCTTTCACCTTCTTGCTCCTGGCAATTTTGACACCTTGTAATCAGCCTTCTCCGTCTCAATCCATATCTCTCTTTTTTCCCCCCTTTTTTTTTTTCTTATAGCAAATCTGGTGTCCCGGATGGATTCAGAATTTCAGAATTGAAGCCACTTGGATAAGAGGTACAGCGCAAAGTTTACAAACCAAATTTTACAAGTAGGAGCCTATTAAAAGCTGAATTGTGTAACTTTTCTGGAGTCCGTCAAATGATTTTCTCCGTGGAGATGATGTTGATTTGTCTGGAATGTTTCAGATTATCGTATTAAACCTTTCTATCTTCACGGAGACCAAACTAAACCAAGTTACAGGTCAGATCTGTGGAGAGGCATCCCCACTCGCAGTCAGAATGTCTGTTTTTGTTGGTATTTTGAGCTATAAAACCAGCTGTAATTTTATAAATGTAAAGTAGAGCTGTTTAATGTCATACTGTGGAACATTGCAGCCAGAGCAATGACATTTCCATAGAAACAAGCACCCTTAACAAAAAGTTACATAGAGCACCTTTAAGAGTAAAGATATTAAAAAAATCGTATCTGTCAGGGCGAGTTTCCTCTTCCAAATAACGTTAAATGACAACATAATTATGGCCAAACAGCTGTTCAGAATTCCTCGGAGAACAGCGCGCAGGCTGCACTGTGTCCCACTCATCACGAGTACAGCAAAAGCATCATTAGTGAGATTCTTAAGGAAAAGGCGAGCTCAGATACATGGTGCCTCAGGAAATTATGAATTACATTGAAAACTGATAATAACACTATGATAATAACGAGCACAGGTACAAAAATCAGAATTGTGAAGGAGCAGTGTGGTAGTTACCTGATCTGCTGTAGTTTGAAATTAATCGTTAGTTTTCTGTTTAGTTAAATAATTGGCAGTATTTTACATAAACCAATAAGAAATGTCAGGTGATTTTATTGATTTACAATGATGTTACTGTAAACTGCAACTGACCTCATTTTTGTAATAAGTTTAATAAATAAACTGTAATAAAATTTAAGTTAATCCTCAGCCATACATTTCAAAGAACTTAGAAGTATTTTTCCCAAATATTTTCTGCATGTCTTTTTGTTTTATTTTTGCACAACTCCCTATTTGACCAAACTACAGTAACATTGCATTATAACATAGGATGTGCTATATTGGCACTTGATTAATAAAAATACCATGTACACTGCAAAAACAATATCTAGGTAAGTTAAAATGACTTAAATTAAGAGCATTTTACGTTATTTGAGTAGATTCAACGCAAGTACAATTATCTACCAATGGAATAAGTAAATAAATAAATCAATCAAGCAACATTTGATTTTATTTCTTATTTTAACTGCAAAGAGTTGTTGTTAAGATGTATTTTCACATTTTAAGTACAAAAAGTCTCATTCCATTAGTAGATAATTGTATTTGGAAAGTCAAATCATGATAAAAACTGTCTTAATTCAAGTAGGATTTCAGTAGCAGCAGTTTCCATTACCAAATGTGTACAAAGTTCTTGTTAGCCTATGTTTATTTCAATAATATCATATAATTACAATATTTTACTCACTGTACATACATTTATATATTTTATGTCTTATTGATACCAGTCTCTTGCTTTTTTTTTTTTTTACTGCTACTTATTTAGAAGTGTTTTTTATATATTTTTACTCTTTGTTATTGTAATATAATGTGATATGTGAGCTACTGTGTCCAAGTAATTTCCTTTGTGGATCAATAAAATCTGTCTAAATCTAATACCCATACTTTAAATATTTACAATTTCAGTTTCCTAATTTTAACTTGGCTAGATTTTAGTTTTTGCAGTGTTATGTATTAAGTCTATAATTAGTCACAAAACACATATACTTCTCATACAGCTCTAAAAATAAATGTAAACGTGCCCAAAAGCCTGTTATATACCCATAATAGAACCCAGCACCAGTGTAGTAGCACGCTTTTTAAAACACTTTGCTGTTCTCTTAGTGCACTGGCTCATTAGTTCAAAATTAGCATTACAACATCACATATTTTACACCTATCTCAGCTATTATTATTATTGTGCTTCTTTCGCTACTGGCAAACGCAACCGGGGCTCAAATGACTTATCAATCAGGCTCTCGCGCGATCACCCGACGCAATTGATAACACGCGCCAAACACTTTAGAGACGCGTTGTTCGGCGCGTTCACACCAGCGCGTCTACCCCGAGCCAGTGTTACCAGCCCATAGCGAAAAGGCTGCAAGGTCCCCTCCGCACGACGCTGCTTCCTTTAAACATTGTCACTGCAAATAGTGCAAATCAGCACAATTGTTCGCAAAGGTGTGAATAAATACTTACACAAGTCAAAAGTGAGAGCTGCCCGGTTAAATTGCACAGGTTCGGTCGTGGAAGATATAGACCGGCGTTTATAGGAGTTATTTCGCTTATAGGAATGTACGGATTTATTACTACTATGCACTATGCGTATTTATATCAATAAAAATTTTAATAAAATGGCTGAAATTGTAATCACAAAGGTTGCAATTGGTTAGAATGTCGTCTGTAAACAACAAAAAAAACATGATTTTTCTGCATAAAACCTCCTCTACAAACGGTGTTAGCGTACCACTAAATTAGCATTGCGAAATTATAATAAAAATGGCTGAAATTCTAATCACAAAGGCTGAAATCAGTTATAACATCATCTGTAAACAACAAAGCACCATATTTTTTCTGAATAAAACTTCTACAAACATGTTCTGAAATATATGGCGTTCATGTATTAGCGTACATGTATTAGCCTACCATTAAACTAGCACATTATAATAAAAATGGCTAAAATTCTAATTACAAAGGCTGCAGTTAGTTAGAATGTCATTTGTAAACAACAAAACACCATGATTTTTCTGCATAAAACTTCCTCTACAAACGGTATTCGTGTTAGCATACCACTAAATTAGCATTGCGAAATTATAATACAAATGGCTGAAATTCTAATCACAAATGCTGAAATCAGTTAGAACGTCATCTGTAAACAACAAAACACTATGTTTTTTCTAAATAACCTCATCTACAAACATATTCTCAAATATATAGCATTCATGTATTAACGTACCACTAAATTAGCATTGCAAAATTATAATAAAAATGGCTGAAATTCTAATCACAAAGGCTGAAATTTGTTAGAATGTCATCTGTAAACAACAAAACACCTAGGTTTTCCTGAATAAAACCTCTACAAGCAAGTTCTGAAATATATGGTGTTCATGTAATAGCGTAGCACTAAACTAGCATTGAAAAATTGTAATAAAAATGGCTGAAACTGCAATCACAAAGAGTTAGAATGTCATCTGTAAACAACAAAACACCATGATTTTTCTGAATAAAACCTCCTCTACAAACATTTTCTGAAATATATGGTGCTCATGTAAACGTACTACTAAACTAGCATTGAAAAATTTTAATAAAAATGGCTGAAACTGTAATCACAAACACGTTCTGAAATATATGGCGTTCAAGTATTAGTGTACCACTAAATTAACGTTGTGAAATTATAATAAAATGGCTGAAATTGTAATCAGAGTTAGAATATCAACTGTAAACAACAAAACACCATGATTTTTCTGAATAAAACCTCCTCTACAAACATTCTGACATAGTGTCCCACTAAACTAGCATTGCAAAATTATAATAAAATGTCTGAAATTGTAATCACAAAGAGTTGGAATGTCAACTTTAAACAACAAAACACCATGATTTTTCTGAATAAAACCTCTAAAACCTCCTACAAACACGTTCATGTATTAGTGTATCACTAAACCGGCATTGCAATAGGCTACGTTTACAAATCCTCGCAATTCTGCCATCTATAATAACACAACATATCACCATTAGGCTTCTTTTCTTGCAGGTTTCCTGGAGGTCAGATGTAAAGCTGCACTGAAAGAAAAAAAAAAATCTTACCTCACCTTGAATGACACACTGTACACCTGTTTCAAATTGAGAATATTCCCGTAAACTAAAGGTGTACTTATACTTATAGTTATAATATAGTGCTAATGTATGTGAATTATCAGCTTTATAATGAAATGGACTAGACTCTAGGTTGATAAAGTATGTCTTGAGATCATAAATGAACTCAATTATGATTTTTGTACACATTTAATAACAATAATTCCACAATATATTTACAGATGCATATTAGGAGCAATACAGTAATTCTTTTAAGAGTAAATATTCAATTGATTTGCTCACATATATGCGTCATGATGTAGTATTAAAAAGAGTAAAATGGTTTTAAAAATAGGCAAAAATAAGTGTACCATTCAATTCTTCAATATTAAATAAATGCTTTCAAGTCTTATGGCAGTGTCATTTCAAATCCAGTGCAGGCCCCACCAGAGGGATCCTCCAGAGTGGTTCTCCTGTCAGTTTGTGCAGCTCACTGGTGTCACTGGGAGTTGTTGTTTTTGTGGGAGAAATGCGAGTAGAGATGGCTGTTCATCAGGTCCGGAGGCACTACAGAGTGGCAGAACGCACATTTATCGGGGCTGCCGCTCTGTGGAGACACTAAGTCTGCCCCCACATCTGCCCCCACGTCGGCCGCTCGGCACAGCTCGGGGCTCCACAGCGGCTGCAGGACAAAAACAGAGGAGAGGAGTCAGTATGGAGATTCAAACAGCGATGCATGTACGCTCTCATCTTGATTATTTTGATCATTTGTGATTTCTTAAGTGAGTAACAAAATTTCTTAGTAGTAGTCACATTTCAAGAACAGAGTCAAAAAATATGTCTTAGTCTTCGTAAAACGCTACAATGACAGTGACTAGACGACCTCAAAAACATTTTTAGAGAATCCACTAAATTATTACTAATATTGATTTAATATAACTATGATCAATTTGTAGAAAACAAACCTACTTATGTTGGAATAGTAGCAACATTAATTTGCAAAACGTGTGAAACTCATCTTGAAGACGGCTTTATTAAAACATAAATAATACCTCAGCCAAACATGAGTGTGTTTGGACAATTTACAGTTTAATCATAAATAGCTATTATATTCATAGTTTTGTTTTGTTGGTATCTGAACAGTGCAGATGTGGAAATGCTTCCTCATGAGTGATCAAACAGAAGCTTAGCGTAAAGGAAACATAAAAGGCTGGACTATATAAACTAAGATAAGCTGTAAGGTTATTAGTTATGCATTTCCTTTCATAGAAGTGTATACAAAAAAATTCCTTTGACACAGCCTTACTGATTACACGACTGATTCTGCTTTCATTTTCATTTTTACGTTGGAAACTATTGAATCATTTTCATTTCTATAGCTACATACTCTTAATGAAAACAGCCCATATTAACAAGTCATCATTATAATCTGCACAATCATGGGCGCCCTTGACCACTCTCCTGTTCTATCATTCATCATTTGAGCAGATATTTACACACATCAGCAGAGAGTCCTCATTTATCCATCATACTTGTTTCGTCGGCTTCACACAGCGTAATGTGCTTCCATCTGGCTCACACGTTGCCTCAAATATGCCAAATATAACCAGGCCTGCTTAAGGAGAAAAAACGCCACTGCACACATTAATACAGTTAAGCAGAGGAGATTTTTTTTTTGGACTTCACACTGTTTCACTCCTCCATTAGCGCAGACCAATCAGACTTTGATAATTTGCTACTAGTTTTTCTCAGACCTTCTCGTGCGATTCTCACCTGCTGGGGTCCCCGTACGCTCTCCTGGGAAAGCGAAGACGACGGCGAGTGGGAGGGGGACGAGGAGTAGACAAAAGACAGGGGCAGCTCCACCGGCTCCTCTTCAGCCACAGCCAGAGCCACGTGGCGGTCCGGGGCACTGTTCAGGAAGTCGTATTCACTGTCCGCTGAAGGGGGGAATTTAACACTGAATTTGGTCAGAGAGTCCAAGTCCCGGTCATCTGGGTCGGCTCCGCGAGAGGCCAGAGACGAGACAGGGATGTCCACCACCGCGGTCCTGAGCGTGGAAGAGGAAAAGGGGCGCTCGGCCTCTGCTGTCCGGTCCGTGCACTGGATGGGCATGGAGAAGCGCTGATCTGCCATGGAAGGAATATTGTTAGAAAAAATATTAACAAAAAAACATGCAGTATTAAATAATGTGTGCTGTGCTAAAGGGATATCTGATTTGGATGTGCAAGGAAAAGTGCTGATCTGTCATGAAAAGAGTATTGTCAGTATTTAAAAAAAAACTCTGATTCAAGAAAATAAACATTTAATTTAAAAAATGCAGTATTAAACTTTGTGTACTGTGAAAATACGACATAAGTAAAAGGCCTTATGCAGTTTCTGATGTTGTGGTAGTGATAATTCAAGAGCTCAGTGCAACCTTTCACAGAACAGGTCAAACAAGACAAACAGGATATGAATTTTGTTGATTGTTTATATCAAAAGAACCAGTGATCAGCTTATTTTATATTTTTGGGGAAGCAACGAAATACAGGAAATAATTTTGATGTTATGTGAATAGGTATCACATGACAAAGAATTACATAAAAGTGAAATAAGGACTTTGGTATTTAGACTCTGCAGCCCCCGGGAGCACAGATATAATGTTGCATCCACAATAAAATGGTGATTCTGCCCTATTTTACTGCTCGTATTCAGTGACTTCAGTGGCACTTCAATGGCTTTATTTTATATTTAGTATAGTATGCATGCAGAGGGACACCTTCCAGAGTGAGGTAGTTATTATTTAAGTTAAATAAACAGTAAAGTAAAAAAAGGAAATAGCAAAAGCAGGTGACATTTGAAACGCTGAATAAATTACCATTTAATGCATCATTTCCTCCATTAAACCTCTTTAGATGGTCTTTTTGTCTTCTGGTCAAAGACTTTATCTTCCGAAATTTCACCTGAATGGCCTCAAATGCATCTTGCATATCTTGACTGACAAACACAAATACAATTTAAATAATAATGGAGACATAAAATAAATAAAAAAAGCTTAAAAACTACAAGAACACATACCAGTCGACAGCAGAGCCAGCTGGTAGATTTGAAGCAGCTGCACCAGTGACGGCATTGTCCTGAAAAACACATGAAAAACACACATGTAACCTTTTACCTTTTAGTATTGACACGCAGTATTTGCATAACAAGCGAAAGTGAGCTCATCTCCAGTTCTGAGTAGACATGAAAATATATTGTACTGCAGCCCAGTTCAGTGAGAAGCAGCCAGGCTCAGGTACATGTAATATGAACTGCACTGTGCTTTTATCCTCTAGCACCATCTGCTGAACCAACGTAGATACACCTTGTACAATTCAATGCACGAAGGTCCAAAACAAGCTTGTAATTTATCGCAACAAGAATTCACTGTACCATGCTTATCTAATGAAATAAAAAAATTTAAAAATGCAAAATAGGCCATGATAGTACAGTGTAACCAGTTATTTTTGCCACTTATTTTGAATATATTTGTGTAATTTATATTTTTACTCTTTATTATGGTATTATATTATATTATATTGTGATGTGTGAGCTACAGTGTCCAAATAATTTCTCGTGTGGATCAGTCTTGTGCAGTTTGTCTAAGTGTAGGATCTGTCTAGTTTGCCACATTGTGTAAAAACATGCAGCTATGAGATTTCTTTTTTTATTTTAATGTTACCTTTCATTTCAGCTCAATTTTTTTAACATCACGTATTTATTTTGTTATTGCCGAATATTATTATAATTCAGTCAAATGAGGACACAAGACTGCTCCACAGGTCTGCTTCAAACTGCTTCAAAAGTTGTGTAATCCGCCGTTCAATGTTTAGCTTGCTTCTGCTGTGATGAAATACCGTGCTTTCCTTCATGTCACAGTGGGCCAAATGTGTAGGCAGATTCTCATGTACGTTATATTAGAAATGTAGCTCTCAATGTAACTCAAACAGGAGTGGTGTTAGAAAGGTTGACCACTGGAACAGCCTGTACTAAAACCACTGTTCTGGGAGAGCAGAAGAGGAAGCTGTATCTTTGTCAAGCAGAACTGAAGGCCACAGTCTAAACCCATAGTAGGAATTCAGTTGGTGTTTGCATAAAGTGAAAGGCAGTGTAGACTTACCTGGTACTGTAATTTCCTATAGGCAAGAGCTCCATCGTGGACATGTTCACAAGGCTCGCATTTCATATCTCCTGTTGCAAAAGAACACACAGCTATTGTTAAGTGCAGATTCGTGCAGATTTTTGATTCACAAAAATTCTGTCTTTGCATTTTTTGGGGGTTAAAATAATTATTTTGCGATAAGAAATGTGCTAAAATGTGTGTGCGTATCTGTGGTGATTGTGTATCAAGTACTGCATGTGAATAGATTATAAAAACGCACCAGGTCCCAAATATGTTCATGTACATATCACTATTTTTGTAATTGTTTTTGAATTTTTGTTGCACCTGGCTCAAACAAATAAATAAACGAATGAAATGAATGAAAAAAACAACAAAAGTGCAAAAATATACCCTGGTTTGAAAGATTATAATGCAAAATTTTTTTCTTTCTTTGTTATTTTTTGTACCATTTTTTGCAGCCAATTCTGAGCTATTTCCGTTCTTTTCTGCAGAGTTTTGCTTGTTTTATTATTTTAGACGAGGCTCAATATTCCAAATTTTCAAAACTATTTCACTTTTGTGGTATATGGTCACGTTGACCCATATACCACACAAAACTAGGTCAGCTCAAGTTGAAAATCTTTATTATTCCATTATGTCCAGGCATCGCAATAACACAGCTTAGTTCAATGTAAATCTATAAATATCTGGTAAAAGTTTTTTGCTACAAACCTGCAGGCGGGGGCCTCAAAGCTGAAAGTTTGGCTTCAAGAACACAGATGAGCCGCTGCTGGTCCTCTATTTGCTTTTGAAGTTTACGCGTGTAGCCCTCATAATACTCTGTCTACAAAATAATATGATTTCGTTAAAATACATTAACACTAAACTGGGATAAATTGTATGACTGAATGTTGAGGCGTACCATTTTCTGCAGCTCCCTCTTAGCTATGTCTTTCTCAATGGAGACCTGGCGATAGGCTTCAAAAGCTTTGTTAAGTTGGTCTCCGATGTTCCTTTCCATTCCGTGTGCTCCACAATCATCACTGACACAGCAGACATGAGCCCTGCTACACACAGCAAATACATTTACACATTTCTGAAAACAAACACTAGGCCTACACAAGTACAAAAAAGACAACTGTGCGGCCTACAACTCCTGTAATATTTCTTAATGTGCTCACCATTAGTCATAGCAACCCTATTCTGCTTTAATTTGACCTTATTCCGTTTGCTATAATTAATTCATATATAAGAAATGTCATATGCCTAGGACTTTATTAGTCTACACTTAACTAAACTAAAAATAATGCACTCATGTGTAGGCTCTTTACAATGCTTGTAGGCGAGTCTATAAAACACAAAGCAAAAGCTCCATAATCCACGCCCATAATACGTCTAAAATTATGTAGAGCAATTGCAAAATAATCATTTAAGCAATTATGAGAAGAATGTAGGATTGTTGTTTAGAGAAGCTCATGCCAAGAATAACAAGAAGAGTGCATGTGCACGCTCATAGTCTATTTATCTATTAGAAAAGTTAGTAACTTATATTAGAAAATAATTAACAAGCCTCATAGTCCTTGATGACACTGTCCATGAGAATATGAAGTGCAACATTTGGTCCAATAGGAGCAGATGTTACCTGTCAGTGAGCCTGCGGGGCAATGGCAGCTGGAGACACACATAGTAAACACATAGAAAGTCCGCAGGACTCGGAGCACTCTTGTTAGAAACAACTTCCACTTCACTAAGGTTCACGTCGCGTTGCCAAGATCTTCTTTAAGTTCCGTATTGTTCCAGAGACTAGTTAGCCATAGCTTCTGTTTGAGCCCATTGATCCAGGAGACAGACTCCTACAGAGTTTACTCGGCTTTACTCAGATTGTGTCGCTTACCTTCATTCGAGTAACTGCCCCGGCCGAAGATATTGTTTTGACACCACCGCAGTTTCGTCGCCTGATCTCGAGATGCAAAGTTCGAAGCGCAGGAGAGGATATGGCAGAGTATGTTTTACATAGCCCTGTAGAGTTGGGAACTTCCCTCGGGGAATCCCCCGCTCTGTAGACTTCCGCCTTTACCCGGGCTCAGCCAATCAGCGCGCGGCTTGGAGGAGAGCCGGGTGGTTAGCTGGTTGAGGGTTCTTCCAACCTACGCGTCTGCAAACCGAGTGCTCTGCATGTGAAAACTCCAGCCAAACTAACTTCATTATGTTCTCATTTATACAAGGGCTTCTGCCTCATCTTACTAAACATTTACGTCAAATGTGCGTGATTATGCGTGCCAACCTGCAGCTGCAGTGCAAACTCTGCACAAAGGGGAATGTTCATCTGCACAAGTGAACACAGGCCACTAAAACAGATACACACGTAGAAATACCTGTGACGAGCGGTTAGGATAGGCTTATACACAATGGGTTGTCTTAAAATTAGCAGCAGCAGTAGTCTTTACACTGCTGTGGTTTTGCAGGTTGATTGGGCCTGCAGTCACAAGTGTTAGTAGGACACAGCATCAACATGCATTTATTACAAAGCAATTGCCCTGTTAGCAAAATGGCTCTAGGCTGTATGTTTTAGGTTGATGCAATAGCGTAAAGCCATAGACAGCATTTTGCCAACAGATAATGTACTTCCTATATGATTGCAGAAGTCCAAAAGGCTCTATAATAGGCTTTAGGCCTAAACTTTCTCTATAGGTGCCCAGCTGAGCTCTGATCCCCTCTGCTGATAGATGGTTAAAAAAAGCTGTTGTGGCCAGAGCAGTGTTCACCACACAGAAGGGTTCCGCTTGTGGCTTAGTTACATAAGTATTATGAGTCTGATCAAGTTTAAATTGTCAGATTGCGATATCTTTTGTCTCCTGCCAATCTATTAAATTTTTGTAATTAACACACAGAAGCGCAGTTGCCAGAGGGGATACTAATGAAGCATTTCTAACAAAACTCACAGTTTTGACCTGATTTGTCCCAAAGCCTGACAGCACACAGAGAGGCCAGTAGGGGGCAGCTCGGAGCGGCTTTTGGAAACGTGGACCTTTCAGAGCACTTCTCCTGAGGACATGAAACTGTATATGTCTTATTCTGGATTTACATTTAAAGAGACACACATCACACTTCTCTGTCCCAGCGTTTATAATGGTCACTAGATAAATACAATATTACATTTACACAAACAGTATTGTAAAAAGAATAAAATATTAATTAAAAACTTAAACCAGGAAACTATGAAGATTACAACCAATTAGACATAACATGTGACAAAAAACGAAATATATTTCATGAATATAAACAAGATATAATTTGAATTTAAAATAAGTTAATTTAAAACAAACAAAAACAGTCACATTTCTTCTTTCAAGTTGGTTTCAGATATATTGATAAACAAAATACCCAAGCTGATGATTGACGATTTCAATAAAAATTTGATGAATCGCACACCCCTAACAAAATACATACAAAGTCAAAGTTCAAATTAAAGAGAACATTAACCTCTCTGTGCGATGTTTATTTGCAGATTTGAGCTCTCCTGCCCCCTCTCTCCCTCTCCCCGCCTCTCCCCTGGGGCCTGCTCCTGGGGGTCATGTGAGGATGGCACTGCCCGGCCCCGCTCTGATCCTCGCTGGTATTCACATGGGCTCACACTGAGAAAGACTCACTGATGTCACGCTGGCAGATACAAACAAGCTCTCCTCACATAAATCACTCCACTACTCCACTACTCCACCAGTCCACGCTCACATTTCTCACATTCTTCTGCTTTCAACTCAACTATTTATGACCCTGACCCCTGAAGTGTGAGGATAGGATTCAGATCGACAATGAAGGACTTTTGATAGGATCTATTTAAAGGTCTTATATTTTGCAAAAATTGACTCTTGTGAGCTTCTTGCCATGTTAGAATGTTGTTTCCTCCTCAAAAACATACCCGTGAGAGTTTTCTGCTTGAAAATTCAGTCTAAATATGCAGGATTTGTGTGAATGAAACAAAACACAATTCAACATTATAAAATAGATCAGAAAATGGTGGAATATTTTTATTTTAAAGACATTGTCCATACTCAGAAGCAGTCGATCTAACTTAGTTCAAGTGCATATTCATGGGGGCAAATAAGCCACAGTGGACCAAAAATATTTCAGCTGAAGCTCAAACAATCGCCAACTATCTAGAGTATGTTGGAACAATTTGGAGCTGGCAAAGATTAAGGGGCCTAGAGGTGTCAGTAAATCTACTTGACAAATGGTCCTGTTACCTTGACACCGCACTGGGATCTATGACTTGATCCGAGCTGTTCTGGTAAATCCCTCAAGACAGTATCTCATAGGCAGGAGCCAAATTTTGGAGTTTTCTATTTAACAAAGATATTTAACACCGCAATCCTTCAAGTGAAGTCATTCGTTTTGTCAAGTGTGGCTTTTTCAAGATGAGAGATTTAAAAATACTGTAGGCCATAGGTAAAAAATGCTTCTTCTCATTTGCTTATTCCAGCGCCTGTGGGTGTAGATTCGGGGAAACTGGACTATTGAGCCAACAGTAAATTGCAGGAGTGACACTTCACATCTGTGGGCTCTTCATTCAATGATTCAAGGTAGAGAGTCACTAATTCTCCTAAGACATGCACACTGCACAAGAAGGAATACTAAAAGCAGACTTGATTCAGATTATTTTTCTCCAAATACAGAATAGTAATAATAATAATAATAAATAAATAAATACCGGTGGCAGACTTGGGGCAGACTGATGGAAGCAAGGCTGCCAATCGATGCCTCCGTCCAACGCTCACACACTACATTCATACCGGGGAATGCGGGTGAAGTGTCATTCCTCAAGACGCACTAACAGTTTTGCTACTCGTGCCCCCTGTGACATCTGGTATTCCCAGCGGTCTCCTATCCAAGTACTAACCAGGCCCGGTGCTTTTAGCTTCTGAGATGTGACGAGATCAGACTTTGACAAGCCTGTGTGGTCACAGGTTTGGGTTCCCATAGGAGTATGTGGAGTGAATGAATAATGCATGAAAACTTAAAGCTTCTCAGACAAATGTATTATAATGATAATATTAAAGGTGCGGATCCCAAGGTTTTTTTTTGTTTTTTTCTATCTTTAAGCCATGTTATTCAACCATAAACTCTGCTTTTACAATCTATACTGGAGCAGGACACATTTCTAACCTCTTTGTGAGTTCAAGTCATGAATTTTATATATGTATTTTAAAGCAGCTTTTTCTGTATGTTGCAGTGCTTCTCTCTCCCACCCATTACTTTTGTACAGGATATTTAAGAGAGCGGAAATGCAGCCAGTGTTGACGGAAATGCTCCTGTGCTCCGGTGACATGTGGAGGGGTAAGGCTCTATGACAAATACGCCTCAGAGTCTGCGATTGTTGTGGCTGGCGGTAACACAGGGGCCCGCTCTCTGGAAGCACTTTATATAATTTATGAGTCACTCCTCCGCCAGGCAGGCTAAAGGAATACGCTGGCAACATTCTGTGGAGAAAAGAAAGAGACCGGGTGGATGAGTAAGCGATGAGACAGAGGTTAAACTGGAGGGATGACTGTGTGAAGAAATTTGGGGTTATTCAGACATTCTTTTTGCACTGTGTGTGGTTTTGCCTGACCAAAGTCTGTCAGGAGTGAAAGTGCAAGTCCTTTTTGATAAATAGCAAATGTGTTCTTGCAATAATTACAATAAAGTCATGGGTAAATGGGTCTATATCAAGGTATACAGCATACAGAGTTATGCTTTTGTCTGCTATATATTTATAATAGATAACTGTCATAGATCATTGTTTCATGTATTTATTATTTATTTGTTTATTTCATTCATAAAGATAAAAATACATTGACAGTGTCCTATTATTAAACATACAATAAATGAATGAAAAGGAGCAGAAAGAAGAGTAATCTTATGTTATCTGCCTTCTCTACATGAACACTTTTCATATATTGATGGTAAATGCTCACATTCTTCCAGAGCATTTTCCACCTTCAAGGCACTCAAAGCGCTTTACATCAAGGAACCATTCACCCATTCACACACGCATTCATTCACCAGTGTACGCAGAAACTGAGGTGGGAAAAAGTGTCTTGCCCAAGGACATAGTTTTTACTTGTGTACTTGTTTTACTTGTTCCTATTGTACACATTGTATTATATTTATTTGTTTTAGGTATATTTTTAGGATTTCCAGTGTTTCGTCTGCATCAGGAGCGGAGGTCAGCTGCAGCTGCCGGGTCTGTCCTGTGGGCTCCTGGTGGAGGGTTGGTGCTTTGGGCTTCATCTCTCCCTTGGTCCTGTGGTGGTTCCTGGTGGTGGTGGACAGCTCTCTGCTCCTGGTGTAGATGTTCCTCTGCTCCTGGTGTAGACGTTTCTCTGCTCCTGGTGTAGACGTCTCTCTGCTCCTGGTGTAGACGTCTCTCTGCTCCTGGTGTAGACGTCTCTCTGCTCCTGGTGTAGACGTCTCTCTGCTCCTGGTGTAGACGTCTCTCTGCTCCTGGTGTAGACGTCTCTCTGCTCCTGGTGTAGACGTCTCTCTGCTCCTGGTGTAGACGTCTCTCTGCTCCTGGTGTAGACGTCTCTCTGCTCCTGGTGTAGACGTCTCTCTGCTCCTGGTGTAGACGTCTCTCTGATGGTGCTTTCTCAACTGGTTCGCCTGTATTCAGCCTCACATTTTAACTAAGTGTGGTTGTATGTATTTTAGCATGTGAGTGTGTGTGAGTTTGTGTGCATGTTTGTGCGTGTGTGTCTTGGTTGTTTGGTTGTGTGGGGTCGGACAGCTGTGGGGGTTGGGTAGTTGGGTGTGAGGAAATAAATGTTGGGTTTGTTTTTAATCACTATAAAGCACTTTGTATTACATTTTTGTATGAAAAGCTCTTTATAAATAAAGTTTGGTTGATTGATTGACATAAGAACAGTATTCATCTGTGGGATGGCACCAACCTGTAGCCAGGCTGGCGCTACCTAGTGCCTCCGCTCAATTTCATTTCTCTCCAGCGACTAGGTCAGGAATCAGAATACACTAGACGATTCGCAAAAAACTCTGAAAGTGCAAGTTCAGGCACCAGCCAATCAGTGAAGAGCCATATATTCAGTGTTGTCAATGATTCCCAAGATCGAGGATTTAAACCCGGAACAAAGAGAATGTTTGGTGAATTTCATCAAGGGCAAAGACGTTATTGCCCTTCTTCCTACGGGATTTGGAAAAAGATTAATATACCAGTTAGCCCTGTTAGCAGCGCATTACATACATCACGACCAAATAGCAGCGCTTGGTTAAATGATTAAAAAGTACCCGCCTACAGTCGAGTGAACGAATTCCAACACTGTGAGGTCAGACGGTTTCACTTCGTAGAAACCAGCTGGTGAATCACCAACCTGTGGGTCTGCGGACAAATTAAGTGGATGGCGTGTATTGTTGTTGTTTATTTTTACTTTCTGCCCCTTTAACTTATTCTCTGTTATAATATTGTTTCCTCTTCAAAACATACCTGGAGTTTTGTTTTGTTTCATTCACACATGTCCATGAAGTCCAAGTCCATCACCCTCTAGAATCTGAAAAACATCAATAACAATAATAATCAATCAATAACAATTAAAAGTAAACGGTTGTGTGCTAAAGTAAAGTTACTGAAATATCAAAAAGGAACTCCACATATCTTTAACCTCTTATAACACGTGAACCAAACATGTGCTTCGGATATATGTTGATCTTGTGAAGTTTCATGAGAATTCCTGTTTCAAATTGCGAAATGTTTTGTCTCCTGGTTTGTAATGGCGTCTCACTCTACATTATTTAAGTGTTATAAATTGCATATATATAATTCATCCACGCAAAATATACAACTTCAAGAGGGTAAATGAGAAAGGAAAACAAATATACCATGGCTAACAATGCTTTTAAACACGTATTTTTGCATAATATGTCCCGTTCAAAAGGCCTGCACCCAATTTTGAACAATGAGTCAAGAGTCTCAGAGTGAACTACAGTAAATCACTTCTTCTACTTTGATGTTGAACCATGATAGAGAAACTATTATTCTCTGGGAGTTTTTTCCACGTGCTTCTCTCTGATTGGATACAACTGTCTGTCCCCAACAAAATATATTTTATTTTTAAAGTAAAGGAAATGTCATACAGTCACTTTCTTCGAAACTGCTGCTTGTACAAAATACTGTACGGAGGAAAAGACAATTCCTGAAGTTTTGATTTCACAACTTGGACCATAAAATGATTTCACAACTTAACCATAAAAACAACCCACACATTTTGCCAGTTACAAAAAGGAAGTATAATCATTAGTTTGTGTAGTAACATGGGATCGCTAGTCTAAAAGTTCAAAAAAGGGCATCAAAGTGTGAATGATACGACATTTAAATAAGAAACATTTATCTTTTTAGTGACCCCATTCTTCTGATATATTAATCCAATAAAACATAACTTTGCATTATAGGCTTAAAGTGTCCCTAAAGGCATGAAAAACACTTTATTTTAAACTGTTAGAGGCAGTCCAGACTTATTCCTCGCTTTCCTCGCATTCTTACCATCCAAATTCAATAACAGCAACTAGCATGCTAACAGCACACCAGTCTTAGCCTACATTCTGGTTTCCGAACAAGAAAATGCTTTATAATTATATGCAGAGAGTACACAGCAGGGGTGGGACCAAGTCATCGTTTTGCAAATCTCAAGTAAGTCTCAAGTCTTTGACCTCAAGTCTGAGTCAAGTCTCAAGTCAAATACAGGCAAGTCCAAGTCGAGTCTTGAGTCCCTGGCCCATAAGTCCAAGTCAAGTCCAAGTCGACCGCTTTGAGCTTCAAGTAATTTCAAGTCTTTAAACCAAAGTACCAATTATAGCTTAGATATTTGCAATTTATATGACTTTAAAACTAAATTGTACTTTAAAAAAATCATAGTATATTTATATATGAGTATTTATAGATTATATAAGAAAAGTACATTTTCCCTTTTTAAATGTTTTGACAAGATCTTAGTGTGAATCATTCTGGTCAGAATAGAAAGAATTCAGATTTAAAAGTGCTTCTCAAGTCTTTTCAAGTCACATGCCTCAAAGTCCGAGTCAAGTCCCAAGTCACTGACCTTCAAGTCCAAGTCGAGTCCCAAGTCGTAGCCTATTTTATCAAGTCAAGTCTCAAGTCCTAAAAATAATGACTCAAGTCTGACTCGAGTCCAAGTCACAACTTGCAAGTCCCAACCTCTGGCACACAGTGATATCACTGATCCTTAGAGCTGGTTTTACAATACAGCTCTACAGGGGCAAAACTAAATTAACTTTATTACATGAAAAATGCATCTTAAAGGGCCTATATTACTCTATTTTCTAATATATGTTCCAATGTTATAATGTTTTTTCCTCATCAAAAACACAACCAGTTACATGTTTTGTTTCATTCACACATGTTTAACACACAAACCCTGCATATTTAGCCTAGAGTTTTAGAGTTCTTCTCTCTAATAGAATACACTCTGTTCCACTTTGTGATGCCATGTGGTAATACAAGAAGTCATCCACTGTTTTTTATAACTCCATATACTTTCACTAGAATTATTTGGATAATTTCAGACCTGGAATTGCCAATTTCTACTAAACAAATGTTAAAAAGTAGCTGTTACACTGCAAAAAACTAAATCTAGCAAAATTAAAGTTAAAATCAAGTTAAGATGACTTGAATTAAGAAAGTTTTATCATGGTTTGATTCAATTTCACTTGGCAAGCAAAATTATCTGCCAGTGGAATAAGACTTTTTGTACTTAAAATATGAAAATACATCTTGCTACACTTAAGATAAGAAACACAACAACTTTTTGTACTTAAAATAAGAAACAAAATCGCATGTTGCTTGAATTAAGAAAAACACATTTATTCCATTGGTAGATACTTTTACTTGTCAAGTTGAATCGACTCAAATAAAGTCAAATGTTCTTAATTTAAATCATTTTAACATACCTAGATATTGTTTTTTTGTTTTTTTGCAGCGTCACTTTAAAACTACTGCTTCATGACATCACAAGGTGGTAAAGAGCATTTTGAGCTTCAGAGAGGTAAACAGACTGATAAGAAAAGGATTACACAAACATGCGTGAATGAAACAAAACACAACTCCGGGTATGTTTTTGATGCAATAACAGCATTTTCACACGACTAAAAGCGTAAGATTCATAAGATTAGCTAATCCTTTCAAAATAAAACAACTGAGCAGGCAGCTATTTACTGTTGTCCTCTGAAGCCCTTTTTATGTAGTGCACTGCCCCCATCACTTCCAAGGGCGAGCTGCAGAGGGTGGGGGGTTGGGAGGGGCTCATAAATTTGAACAGAACTGATCTCCGGGGAAATGAACTGTCCTTTTTGCAGTCCCTCGGAGCAGACTTCTTGGAGATCAGATGTGCCCTATGCCCTGTGTCCATTACAGGGCATTCTTGTATAGCCATAATTAGTAATACGCACAACCCAGACGCCGATATTATCTTGGTATTCCCCAGACTGGAGCTCCCATTGTCCTTTCATATGCATGATATAGACTGGTGTTTTAGCTCGCAGCGGTTATGTTTGTGTTTTTACCTCTATCTTCAAAACCTCCTAGGACTTAAAATCTTGCATGGCTTTATTGATTTCTCTTTGTTATTTTGTCTGACTGGGACCTGATGATGAGTGCAAAAACAAAGCATTACATTTTTATTATATTTTAATTATATTTTTATATTTATAAGTCCACATATGATCTATAAAACATTCATTTTATGCTTTAATCATTTTGATGGAACACAATAAAGTCACAGTTGAATAATGATTTGCAAAAACTATTAAGTGCCTGAACAATCCAAAATATATATACATATATATTTAACATATATATGTTCACATATATAGACTCCAGGTCCTATAGGAGACTACAGATGCACTGCGTAACTTTTGTGGTGGAGGGTCCGTCACTTGCTTGTCTCCATGGAGATGTTATTGTTTTTCCTGGAATGTTATGTATGATATTAACGGGAACTATGAGTAACTCTCCACCTTCTTCCAAGTAGCTCACCAAGGGATTTCTGAATTACAAGTAATGTGCTGAATAAGTAAAATGTGATTAATGAAATACCTTTTACAGTTGTACATGTATCATTTTGACGCCTGACTTTGTGCACTAAGTTAGATATAGTTTATGTTCATAGGCATATAAACATAATGGTTTATATTTTATAGGATAATGGTTCACCTTGGCTATTATATTTACTTAATTTCTTGTGACTGCTAGAACTAGAACTAGAAGCTCTCTGACATTTTCATTTTGTAAAAGTAGCTCACTGGAAGAAGAAGGCTGGAGACCCCTGCATTAAACACATCTACTGTATGTATAACATTTATTCATTATGGGTGTTTTTATTGCTCAAAATTTCAATCATTTCTTTTGTGAATAGGGCTGCCTCTCCATAGATCTGACATGTAATATAGCTGGGGTTATATGGGTTTAAAGGGCCCTTATTATGGTATTTTCAGATCTATGTTATAATGTTGTTTCTTCAGCAAAAACAGACCCAGAGTTGTGTTTTGTTTCATTCACACATTTTTAACACACAAATCTTGCACATTTAGAGTCAATCTCTCAAACAGAAAACACTCTGTTCCACCTTGTGATGTCATGTAAATACAGGAATTGCTCCAGGAATTGTGTTTTTAAACTCCATACACCTTCACTAGAATCATTTGAATAATTTCAGCTCTGGAATTGGCAATCTCTACTGAACAAAAGGTAAAAAGCATCTTGAAAAAACTTGAAAACTACCACTACATGACATCACAAGGTGGAACAGAGCATCTTGAGCTTTGACAGACTAATAATGCAGAATTACTCAAACATGTGAATGAAACAAAACACAACTCCAGGTCTGTTTTTGAGGAGTTAACAACATTACAACATGGCTAAAAGATCCCAAGAGTGATTTTTGCATAATATAAAACCTTTAATGTCTACTGTGAAATTTTTAGACAAAGCCATAACATCTCCATGACGACAAGCAGTTGACAGACCCTCCGCCAGAAAAGTTGCGCAGTGCACCTTTAAGCAAAATAAACAATACGCTGTAGGTCTGTGGAAATTTGAGATGTGGGGCTATGGTATGCCGAGGGGAGAGGGGAGGAATGCGAGAAAAAAAGATCAGATTTCAACCCGGAGAAAGGGAAAAATCAAGTTGGATGAAGAGAATCGAAAAAGGGAAAATACTTGGAACTATTTGGAGTCTTGTGGTAGACTATCTGGTTGCAATCTTGTATCGTTTGTGCAGGAAGTGAACTCTGGTTTAGTAGTAGGTGCATTGTTTCAGTTCAGGATCTGGCCTCAGGGGCTTCCTGCTATTTGTAGATGGGGTGGAGATAAACTCTGCCAGTGACAATGTTTTATAGCAACGGGCATAATGGAGAACACTTTGGAATCAGTTTGAAATATGTGTGAACTTTTGGACAATTTTTTGTTATATTCAGATGCAAATATTGGATGATGGATTTGGATTAAAGGTCCTACGTAACACAAAATTGACTCTTGTGA